GGCCTAAACATAGGATCATAAGACCGGAGATTGAGAGTTGGAAGGGCCCTCAGAGGCCATCTGGTTCAACACAATAGAGGAAAGTGATAGGTGGGGCATGGGTGAAGTTCAGCTGATCTGCCCATCTGATATATAATACCCATGGATAATAAGAGTCCTTTCCTGGACTGAAAAGGATTTAGTTGTGAAATAGCAGCCAAGACCCTTACCTCAATCACTCTGTCTTCAGTTCTAAGCAAACTTCACTTCTCCCCATCCCCCGACCTTTCCCCTCTTGCCCACATCCAAGCCCCTCCTCACTCTCCTCCGATTTCCTCCCCTTCCAATCCTCTTAGGGTTTGAAGAGGAAGAATAATCTTTCTGTTTCTATCCTAGAATGGAGGTAAAAGTGGGGGGTGAGGATGGAAAGCAGGGAGGAATAGAACATTTTGAGCTGAGAAATGTCCTGTCACGGATAGGAAGCCAAAGTTTTCACCTTCCTGATCCCAGGATTTCTACCCGAGAGGCTTGATTAGAGATTACCCAGTCCAACTCTCTTCCCCTTTTACAGATAAGAAAATTGAGGCCCAGAGATGTTGGGCGATTTGCCTAAGGTCATAGTAGGTAGTAAGCAACAAAACTGGAATTCAAACTCAGGTCCTGGGACTCTGACCAAGTTCAGCACTCTTTCCACTGCCCAATGTTGCCTTAGGTATGGGGTTCCTGTGTTTTCACAGGCAGTCTCTGGTGTAGCAGCAGATTTAGGTGGCTGTGAGTCCAGACCCTTTGATCCAACTGTGTTTCACTGAGGTCAGAGTCAGTGGGGATCAAGGGCAGGAATGGCTGACCCTCACTGACTCACATGAGCTCAGATCTGACTGACCCCAGGCTCAAAGTCTGTGCCTCCGAGTTCTGCCAGATCTCTGGTTAATTTCAGATTCTGACTCCAAGGCTTTTCTTTCTGGGGTCACTGATTCCAGAGTTGATCCATTCTCTACCCACACTCACTGACACCACATACACATATCTGCCTTGCTCCAACCAGTCCCTCTTCAACAACCCACACCTTCCTTGGTCTCCTCTTGCCAACAGTAGATATGAGGAAAGTTGTCCTGATTTCTAAGGCTCCTCCATAACCCTGTGTCCCCCAATACCATTGCCTTAGAGAGGGGGGAACTAGGGGTATCACTAGAAGGATAAGAGAGGAAGGGCCACTGGGACCTGGGCCAGACCAGGTGCAAATAATTGGCAATCCGGATTAGTTTCCCACTCTTACTTAATCCACCACTCCTCTCCCCACCCCACCCTTCAGTAAAAAAAACACGATTAACTTCCTTCTGTTCCTTCCCTCCTGCCCAGACCAGTTGCAGATACCCTTGGTAGATATGGATTTTTAATGTTTTAAAACAGAACAACACATGGCAGATATCCCTTCTGGGGATGCTTCACATGACTACCCTCTCAGGTAGAGAATTAGAGAAACTAGGTTCAAATCTCAGCGCTGACACTAGATAGCTGTCTGATATTCATCTCTCTGTCCCTCACTTTCTTCATTTGCAAAACAAAGAAGTTGGAAATGTTCATATTTGTTGATAATCAAGTTCGTAATTTTAAAAAATTAAAACTCTCAAAGAATAAACAACAAAAATAATGTGGCCAGTTAGAGGATCCCAACTCTAAACCCTAAGATCTAATAATTGCCTTCACCCCCAACCCCTGCCAAGTAGAAATGGCTCATTTATGGGAGTTTGGTTTAGAGATTTATTTATCCCGTGTTTGGGATCCTCTCCCTCTTCATCTCTACCTCCTGACTTCCCTGGCTGCCTTCAAATCCCATCTAAAATCTCACCATGTTTATGACTTTGGAGATTTCCTTATATGATCACAGCCTATTCCACCTTTCCTTCTTGCAGCGCCAAACCCCAAACCCTGTCCTTCATCCACACCCTGATTTCCAATCCCTTGACTTCTAAATTCTTTCCCAGGCCATCACCTCTCTAGGAACAATACGCTCCTCCCTTCTCCATCTTGACTCCTTGGTAAACCATGTTGACTTTACAATGTCCTTCTCTTGAGTCTTTTTCCCCTTATTGTATTACTGATCTTGTTTTGCCAAGCGTCAGTCTTGTATAACTCCTACCATCTGTTACTTTCTCTCCTATGTTTTTGCTGCTGAACAAAGCTGGAGAAAATCTTAAAACCCTGATGACTGGGCCCACTATAAATTTAATTATTTGTTGTTGTTGTTATTGTTCAGTTATGTCTGACTCTACATGACCCCATGGACAAATAATTGGTCAAAATCCATGGAGTTTTCTTGGCAAAGATACTGGAGTGGCTTGCCATTTCCTTCTCCAATGTGTCCCCATTTTACAGATGAGGAACTGAGGCAAATAGAGGTTAAGTGACTTGCCCAGGATCACACAGCTAGTGTAAGTGTCTGAGTCTGGATTTGAACTCAGCTCTTCCTGACTCCAATACTCTATCCACTGCACCACCTAGCTGCCCCTGAACTAAAAAATTTAGTTTACATAACCTCAACTGGTCCCTCACTGCTACAAGGCAATCTTTTTACAATCTCCCTAATTAACTCACAATCCTACTCAGCAGAGAGGTTCCTCCAAACTTTTTTATCCCTCCTCAAACTTCCCTTGTTTCCCCTACCCTCACCCTTTGAGCTAAGATTCTTACCTCATATTTCACTGAAAAAACTGAAGCTATTCACTGAGAGCTTCCTCATTGCCCATCCTCCTAATCTCACATCACCCAGATGCCTTCTGCTACTTTATGTCCTCCACCCCTATCTCACATGAAAAGTTGGCTCTGTGGCTTAGATCCCATTCCGTTCAGTCTTCTATAGCAGACTTCCATATCTATCAACCCCACTTTCTCTTTATCTTCAGTCACTCCCTGTCTATTGGCTGCTTTCCTACTATCTATTAACATGCCCATGTCTCCTCTACCCTCAAAAACAGTCACTTTATCCATCCATTCCTGTTACCTATTGTCTCATAGCTCTTTTCCCTTTTGTGGCTAAACTCCTTGAGAAGGCCATCTACAATCAGTGTTCCCACTTCCTTTCCTCTCAATCTCTTCTTGCCTCTTACAGTCTGGCTTCCACACTCATCATTCAACTGGTACTGCTCTTTCCAAAGTCCCTAATGATCCCTTATTTGCCAAATCCAATGGCCTTTTCTCAACCCTCATCTTTCTTGACTTCTCTTCAGCCTTTGACACTGTGGATCATCCTCTTCTTAATACTCTCTTATCCCTGGATTTTCTTGACACTCCTCTCTCCTGGTTCTCTTCCTACCTACCAGACTGCTTCTTCTAGTCTCCTTTACTGCAACTTCATGCAAGTCACTCCCACTAGCTGTGGGTGTCCACAAGGTTCTGTGCTAGACCCTTTTCTCTTCTCCTTCTATACTGTTGTGCTGGATGTCTCATTGTTTCCCATGGATTCAATTATCTTCTCTATGCTGATACTTCTAGGTCTACTTATCTGGCCTTAATCTCTCTCCTCTGACCTCCAGTCTTACATCTCCCACTGCCTTTTGGACATCTTATACTCAACATGTTCAAACCCAAATTCATTAACTTTCCCCATCAGCCCTCTCCCTCTCCCAAACTTCTCTGTAGAAGGTGATACCATCCTCCCAGTCCCTTAGGCTCACAACCTAAAAGGCATCCTGGTCTCCACACTATCTCTCCCCTCCCCCTCCCTATATCCAATCTGTTGCCAAAACCTATTGATTTCACCTTTGCAACATTTCCCAAACATGCCCCCTTCTCTCCTGTGATACTGCCATTCTCCTAATACAGACCCTCATCACTTTGCACCTGGATTATGGTAATTGTCTTCTGGTGGGTCTGCCTGCTTTAAGTCTCTCCCCACTCCAATCCAGCCACCATTTAGCCACCAAAGTGATTTTCCTAAAGTACAAGTCTGATCATGTCACCTCGTATTTAATAAATCCCAGGGGTTTTCTATAACCTCCAGGACCTAATTCTATACCCCCAACCCTCATATACTCTGTAATTCAGTGACACTGGCCACCTTGCTGTTTCTCAGACAAAGCACTCCATCTCCCAATACTAAGTATTTCACTGGACAACTGAACGATAACACATACAGGATCCCATGTCTCAAAAGTACATATAATGTCAAAAGAGGGAGGGTCCTTGTGGTTCATCTCTCTCACTACCTCCCCAAACAAAGGGGAAATTGAGTGGACCAGAGGAAAGGAGGGACATTCTAGCATCACATCCAGTAAAAGAAGAGACAAAGCTGGAGGCTTCTCATCAGTTCTGGGTCCTGTGACCCCCTACAGCCCCAGCTTCCAGCTTTGAGACACCCTCCCCCAAGCCCTATTACTAAGCATTAAACTCCCTAATTCCATCTAGTCTTGGAGACTGTCCAAGCTTCATCTCTGCACACTGAAATCCCCCCAACTCTGGGCTTTGAAACCCCCTGAACTCTTTTATCTCTGAGCATAGAATGCCCACTCTAACTCCCATCACTGGACCCTAAATTGCTTAACCCCATTTCTGGATCCTGAGAACCTCCTGAAGCCCATTTCTGGGCTTTGAGACCTTTTGAGCCCCCATCTCTGCACCCTGAACTCTTGAAACACTCCTCAACCCAAATGACTGGGCCCTGCAGCTATCAGCACCATGACTGGGATCTGAGAACACTATAGCCTCATCTCTGGGATCTGTGACCCTGCTAAAACTTACATCTGTAGACTCTGGGATTGTCTGAACCTCCATCTCTGGAACTTGACCCTCCTCTGATTTACTTCTGCAATGGGATCCTAAGTTTCTGAGACCCCACCCAACTCCACTCTCATTCCTTTTTCTCCTGTGACCTTAAGATCTGGCTATCGTCCTGGGGCGCAGGGGAGGAATGGGTTAGCATTGAGAATGTTGTATAAGAGGACTGGGACCAGTGCCAGGTAACAACCCCATCCCTAGGCATAAAAGGCGGGGACAGTACTACCTGGAACCTACTCCTGACTTAGCACCTGTCCACCCCCAGACAATACTGCAGTGAGGCCTCTGCCACCTCCACCATGCTGGCCTCGGGGCTGCTACTGGCAGCCATATTCTTTTGCCTCTCAGCCCTAGTGGTGCTCTCTGTATGGAAACAGAGGAAGATCCGCAGCAGCCTTCCCCCTGGACCTACCCCCCTGCCTTTCATCGGCAACTACCTGCAGCTCAACACCCAGCAGATGTATGACTCTCTCATGAAGGTACTGAGGCTGGGGGGCAGGCACAAGAGGGAGAATATGCAGAGACTAAGACAGAAAAACAGAGATTGAGAAAAACACAGAGAGAGACAGAAAGAGCAAAGAGACAGAGAAATTGAGTGGGTGGGGAAGACAGGTGTACAGACAGACACAGACAGGGACAGCCATGAAGTCACAGAGATAGGGAGTGATGCACAGAGATGGGGAGACAGAAAGGGAGAGACAGTAACAGGGGAAGAGATTGAAATGGATACTAAGAGACACAGAGAGATGGACTCAGAGACATAGAGTGAGACAGAGAAACACAAGCAGCAAAGAGGCAGACACACAGAGAGATGCATGTGCATAAGCAGGTTCCAAGGTGGCTGGGGAGAGACTCTGGGAGGGTTAGAAAGGAGAGATGGAAAAAGACAGAGATGGAGGCAGAAAAAAGTCTCTGCTTCTCGCTGCTGACTTGAGGAATTTCCTTTCCTCTCTCCAGTCCTCAGTTTCCCTCTCTGCAACATGGCCAGGTTGGGCTAGATGGTCTGTAAGGGCTAAATGTTATGATCTTATGGGAAAGAGGCTCCAAGAAAAGCACAGAATCTGTTCTTGGGGAGGGATGGACAGAGTTGGGCTGCAAGAGAGGGATTCAGGGGGAATGGTGGAGAAGAGGGCTTGAGAGAGAGGACCTTAGGGAGAGGGTGAGAGAAGGAGAGATGAGAGCCCACAGAGATCTCTTGGTAGAAATGGGCATTAGAGGTGCAGCACCAGACGTGCTCTCTCTGCCCTGACTACGGAGTTCATTAGTTTCTTGTGACTGCAGAATTGTTTAAGGAAGCCCAAGGTAGGTGAGAGGCTTGAAATAGATATGCCCCATTAGACTGTGAGCTCCTCAAGGGCAGGGACTATCTTTGCCTTTCTATCTGCAGTGCTTAGCACAGTGCCTGGCACACAGTAGGTGTCTAATAAATGCTTATTGCCTTGGCTTGTCACAGAAAAAAATGGGCAAAGGAGGAAAACCCAGAGCAATTTTGTTACTATCTTGTTAAACACAGGATCATGGATTCATAGATTGAGTTGGAAAAAATATGAGGTCATTGAGTCCAAACCCCTCACTTTACAGATGAGAAAACTGAGGCAGAGGTGAAGTGACTTGCTCAGGGTCAAACAGCTAGTATCTAAGGAAATATTTGAACCTAGGTCTCATCATGCTGCCTCTCAAGAAAAAGAAAAATGTACATATAGATACATATTATATATATATATATATATACATATAATACACATACACATATATTTAAAAATAAACAAACTTTATAGCAAGGATTCACAATCCTGTTCCTTACTCTTTGTGTGGTGAAATGTTTGTGTTTTGTTACTGATGCCTAGGTCACAATAAAAAAAATTTTTCAAAGCTACTGAGAGGTGATGGGTGAGAGCTTATCTTTTAGGGAAGCGAACTAAGAGGGAAGAACTCATGGGGCTCAGAGGCAAAACACTGATTCTTCTGCCTTCTCCATGCCCTCCAGATTGGGGAAAAATTTGGGCCTGTGTTTACAGTCCACCTGGGACAGCGGGCCGTCGTAGTCCTGACTGGGTATGAGGCCGTGAAGGAGGCACTGGTCGACCAAGCAGAAGAATTCTCTGGTCGGGGGGAGCAGGCCACCTTTGACTGGCTCTTTAAGGGATTCGGTGAGTGTCTTGGCAGGGACCAGGCCAATGTGGCCTTCCCTAGGTTACTGGTCAGGGTTCCTTTTGCTTCTGTCCCTTCCCTTCCCTTGACTACCATTTCCTCCCTCAACCATCTGCTCTTCCATGTTTCTCTTTCTTTCTCTGTTTCTCCATTTCTGTCTCCCCATCTGTCTCCATGGTTTTCCATCTGTCTCCAGTGCTTTATCTCTTCATCTTTCTTGGTCTCTCACTATCTCTCCATCTCTTTGGCTATTCTTGTATCCTCTTCTCCCTGTGTTTCTCCATCTCTCCCTTGTCTCTCCATATTTTTTTTCTTTTTCATTCCTTCATCTTTCTCCACCTTCTATCTGTCTCTGTCTTCCTTTAACTATCTCCCCTTGACTCTCCATGACTCTATCTCTCACTTTCCCCATCTTTCTCTCTGTCTCGGTGTCTCTATCTCTCCATTTCTTCCTCTATCTCTCCTTGTCTAATCACGATCCAGATCTCTCCATTTGTCTGCCTCTCCGTTTCCCTCCCTATCTCCCCATTTCTTCCATACATCTCCTGATTTATCTTCCTATTGCCCTATCCTTCCCCATTTCTCTTCCTTTCCTAGTCTCCCCACATCCCTCATCTCCCTAGCTTTCTCTTTCTCATTTCACTATCTCCTCCATCTCTCCCGTCTGTCTTTTTCTCCATAT